GCCTGCTTCGTTAAAAAACAACAAACGCGATTTCAGAACCCTTTAGTCACCATCATATCGTAATAAGCGATTACTTCTACCATAAGTTATATCTAAAAAAAAAAAAAAATTTTTTTTTTTTTCTTTAAATTAAAGAAAATAAAAAATATATTGATCAAATAACCTTCTCTTAATTTAACATCATCTTCTCCTGAAAGAAGTTTTATTGGTAATGATAATTCATATGTATGAGCAACAGTGGGTTGTTGTTCTGACATAGCTGTAACATGTTGTCGATCGGATATGTATCCCTTTGTTGAACCCTTCAAAAAAAAAAGAAATAAAAAGCATAAACTATTCATTTAAATAATTAAGAACATATTAGCAAAAGAAATGAGAGCTCATACAAAAATTAAAAGTAATTTATCGAGCATCTGAATGAATCAAAATAGGAAATAATGGTTTATATTAGGAGAAAAAAACAAAAAAAAACTTACTGCTATAGCTGATGAAGTATTTTGATATGATGATAATGCTACATATTCATTTGATGATGACATCGATGAACCATCATCTCGTGCACCAAAACTCATTTCACCGGCACCATGAGATGTTGGTTTTGAATGAATTAATGTAGCTACTGGACGGAGACGAATATCATCGTCACTATTTGAACGTGTTATTTTTTTCATCGAATCACGATGAACATCGTGAGACATATCGCGATGATTTTAATTGTACAAGAAAAAGAAAATCTATCGACGATCTTATTGAATATCAAGAACAATTGAAATGAAGAACTTGTAAATAAACATATGTAATTAATGGATGGAGGAATGATTGGAATCAAAATAAATTAAACAAAAATTAAAAATAATTTGAAATAAAATATTTTTTGGAAATTTTTCAATTAAAAATATGAACTATTGTATAAGACCTTCCGAAATAAAGTTTTTTATTGTTAATCTGTCAAAAGATGTCACTAATTTACGAATTTCTCTTTCCAAAAGATGATAAAGTGTACGTGCGGAATAAAATACTGCTAATTGACGAGGATGGGTGTGAAGTCAGTGTTGATTAAACGAACACATCTTACAATGGAAGGTCGTGCTATGTCAGTTAAGGAGATTGACTATTGAGATGAACATCTTTTGTGATGAAACGTACTATTTTTTGACTTAAAAGTCAAAGGCTTGGTCAAAGTCAATATTCGGTATTTTTGGATTTATATTGCTTTCATGACTAGTTTCAAATAGGGCTTCTATTCAGATAGAGTGAACAAGGAAAAACTAATCTTCTACTTCAATTGGTATGTCACATTGTCCCAGAGCATTTATGTTAATATGAGGTTTTTTGCTTTTTGTGCATGTGTGAATATGTATCAGAGTGAAATTATACAGTATATGAATATAAGATTCATATACAACACACACATCCACTCACATTTCAGTAACAAGAACTAAAGCAGAAAACTTCATATTTATACCAATGCTTTGCGATAATGTCATATACTAATTGAAGTGAAAGATTAGTTTTTTTTCTTTTGTTCCATTTGAAACTTGTCATGAAAGCAATATAAACACCAAACATTGACTTTGACCAAGCTTTTGATTTTCAAGTCAAAAAATTGTACGTTTTGTCACAAAAGATGTTCATCTCAACGAGATTTTTCATTAGATATAAGATGATAAGAATTCTGATGAAAAAATTTGACAGCCTAATATACGACCTTATAAGATCCTCTCGTTTCATATATCTTGAAATTCAAGTATCTGATTTTACGCACACTATGGACACGTAATATTTTTAATTTGATAGTTTGGCGGTGAGAGCATTAATTTGACTCAAATATGGTCAATCTTCTTAATTGACAGCACACGATCTTCCTTGGTTAGTTATCTAATTTTAGTTTCAAGTAGGAATGCAGCAGTGGCGATTATCGTAGAGTACGATTATCTCTCCAAACCGATAATCGCACCTCACGATTATCGGCGAATTAGTGTTAAAAGCCCGAAAGGTAAAAGATCGAGAGGTAAAATCTCGAAAAAAAAAATCTAGAACGTGAAAAATCTCGAACGGCGTGAATCTAGAATCAGAAATCTCGAAAATTTCGACAATCTCGAAAGTGTAAAATTGAACATCGATTCAGGTGCTTCAGTAATACATGCTTTATTAATTACGAGTGTGTTGCATGATAAAAAAATGAATAGAAAAGAAAGAGGATGTAAACAGGACATTGATCATGATGCGGTGTTTTACCGCTGCAGATGCAGAGAAAAAGTAATACAAAAGAAAATTTAAAGGGAACACGTACACAAGAGAAAAGTCAGCATTGATTAAATATTTATTTTTTAGACTTCATGTCCTTTGCTACAAGTAAGGATAAGGGTGTGGGTGTGGGTGTATGTGGGTGTGGGTGTGGGTGGGTGTGGGTGTGGGTGTGTGTGGGTGTGGGTGTGGGTGTGGGTGGGTGTGGGTGTGGGTGTGTGTGGGTGTGGGTGTGGGTGTGTGCTCTCCTCTAAAATAATCCCCATACCAACACCCACACCTGCACCCTTTCGAGATTTTTTACATTCGATATTTTATCTTTCGAAATTTCTTAGTTCGATATTTTGCACTTCGAGATTTTGCTCGTTCTAGATTTTTTTTTCGGTCTTTTTCCTGTCGAGATTTTGCCTTTCGGGATTTTTTTCTTTCGAGATTTTTTTTTTCGAGATTTTTTTTTTCGAGATTTTACCTTTCGATCTTTTTCCTTTCGGGCAATTAACACTCCCCCTTATCGGCCTACCACGATAATCGATTTTCACGGGTTTTTTACGCAAATTTTTTTTTTAAATAAGAATATTTTATAAAAGTTCGTAGAAATCAAGTGCGAAGAATTCAAATTTGCACTCGTTTTTTCAAAATTTTAGACTCGATGTTTTTCAATTCGAAAAGGTCGTTGTATGTAAAATATCCTTATTTTCTCAAACATCGTCATTTGTCGATAAAATCGTGTATAGAACTTTGAGAAGCTGGTTGTAGATTGAAATCGCTCGACCTCGATTTACTCGAGCGAACCTTTCTAGATACCCGCATTTTGTAAAAAAAAGTATCTTTCGTGGAAAAACGGGGAAAACTAGTTATTGTTGTGATACCATAACAGTATGGTAAGGTAATTGTAATAGATCGTATGGCAGCGAAACATGGACGGCACATGAATGATTCATGGAGCCATAATCACCATTAAATCTTTGAGTGTGAGTAAACAGATCATGAAGGTAAATCTGATGATTTTTTTTATCAATTTCTTTTGATATTTTATGTGCATTTAGAAGGTCATTATCTAAAATAATCGAGCGCAAACGTTTACTTTATTTGTATGTTTCAAAGGCAAAGTAAGATTGATCCATTTTTCGATACTACTCATCTATTATCAATAAAATAGTGATTAATGGTCTGATAAATGTCGACTATGTGAATATTTTCACACATCAGAGAATTTTATTATGCAATATACCAAGAGATAGAGTATCAATAAATTAAAAAAAAAGCGCTATATTGAAATATTGGCTTTTAAAAAACTACTCGACGTGAAAGAAGTTAGAAAAAAAAACAGAATTCGAATTGAGAAAAAGTATAATAGATTAATAAAAGTGTTTTCATAAGTCACAAGATAGGTATTGAATATAAAGAAGATTAATGTCCTTCTGCAGCATCTTGCTTAATTTGGGTAATTGAACGAAAATGATGCACAACAAAAGACAATGCATCATATGGATGACCTGGATCCTTTTCATACCATGCATAAGGAAAGAAAATATGAGGTGCAAATATTTGAAAACCATCTTTCATTGTTGTTTTCTGCTCTTGTTGCATGTCTTTAACTTGTCTTGTTATATAATATGGACCTGTCTGTTGATTAACTGTTCCATTTTCAAATAGAGCCAAATTCGTCTCTAATCCTGTAATTAATCGTTGTGTTAAATCATGACCAGGGATAGCACCAAGAATACCGTTACAAATGAAATAATCACTTTCATAAGCAACAAATGCTTCCACTCCATGTAAAAGTGGTTCAATATTTTTCAATGGTTCAAAATCAACATCTATATAAATACCACCATATTGATAAAGAATTTCATAACGTAAAATATCTGATGCTTGTCGTAAACTTTGAACGGAATTTTGAAAACGTTTTTGATTATGTAATGATAGATTTCGATTAGCTATTGTTTCATGTGTCCATATGAGTATTTCCCAATTTGGATGAAATGTTTTCCATAAATCAATATATTGTTGAGTAGCATCAGGTACAGAATTATTATTGAGCCAAATAAAATGAAAAACACGTGGAATAATAATTGGTGGAATCAAATAACGTTGAGTAAGTGAATTTCTGTTAAATTGATTATCAGTATTGACTAACATGATTTTAGACATAAATGCATCCAATAATTGTGATTGTGCAATATCAATAATCATTGAATCAACTTGAGTTTGAACTGGATAAATAAAATCAAGTAATGTTGCTGCACATGAAGGACTTATAATATATGCATATGTACCCCAATTGGAACCATCTATTTTCCATAAAAGTTCATTATAATCTATTAGTTTTGCTTCCATTTCTTTACCAACTAAATTACCAAAATAGAATAGACTAAAATTGGTGGGTAAAGCATAAAGTAAATAAGGAAACATAATATTTAATAATTCTTTATTTAAATGTACATCATCTTCCAATACAAGCATAGGCATATTTAATTCCACAACACGTTGCCAAGCACGAACATGAGATTCTAGACAACCTAAAGCTCCCATGGTAAGATAATTACCATTAATAACATGATCTTGACTAACTAATTGATTATAAATAAACTTTGATATTTTATTTTCATGTAAATAACTAATTAAATCAATTTTTTTTCCATCAATACCAACTAGAGATTCCACACCAAATGGAAAATATCTAATAAAACTATGTTCTTCATAAAGATTTTTAATTAAATGTGTAGTATTGTGATTAAGACTAATGAGCAAGCCACCACCAATCGGCATATGAGCAATACTTTGAGATGGCCGAGTGATAGATCTACGACGACGTCTTCTTGCGACGGCTATTGTTGTTGATGGATAGACTGAATAGCCTGGCATATCGGTGGTTGTAACTGTTGTTTGTGTTTCAGTAGTAACATTTTCTACGTTAATTATAGAAAAGAAAACAATAAAAATCGAAAGATTTCTAGTAATGTTAGTTAGCTAAAGAAAATTAACAGCTCCATTGTGTATAACTGATCTTCAAATTAAATTGCAACTAGATTATTAATTCTTGTTAATAATCAATTTTGATATCGAAAAGGATGGGACATATCAATTTTAAGAGATCAGAACCGAACAGTTACGATGTCAATTTTTCAATCGGGTTTATTTCTCAAATGCTTGTGTAACTGAAAGATACTAATATATGTGTAAAGTTTAAAAAAACCTATTCAGTTCTACTCTAACTGTGGTGGTTGACACAGCTGCAATTTTGCTGGCCATTCGATGATGTAAATGTCATTGGTGCTGCTGTTTTTGTTGATAATGAAATAGGTTTTAAGATTCATTGGTGTATTGTGTCAACAAAATATTCATTTTCACTATGATTAATATGATCCTTTGATTATTGAAGTATTTCTTTTTTAGATTCTAATTGTATCTACTAGAAACCGTATTAAATTTTTCTTATAAAAAAAAGTTCATTTTTCTTGTATTTATACAGTGTAAATAGTTTATTGTTTGAAGGAAACAACGATGTATATGACTATTTGAAATGGGTACAAGAAGATGTAGAAATTTGATGTCATGTGTTCATTTCGAGATAATTTATTTTCACTTTGAGAATGTACGTCTTTGGCTTACAAGGGAACATTTCCAGCTGCCGGAGCGCTTTTCAGTCGGAGTTTCACACATCTTGTAACTCATCATGACATTTGCAGCAAGATCAGGTTATCGAATTTTGACCTGAAACCTTAGCCACATAAAGATGGCAGCTAGACTAGTTTGCATAAAAAATTTCAGAACTTTTGGGCTACGTCTCTATGAGATATGAAGCCTTCAAGGTATAGGCCGTTTTTGATAGGTAATATATACAGCATGTAATTTTTGAAGGCTCCATATCTCAGAGAGATGTAGCTCAAAAGATCTGAAATTTTTTATTCAAACTAGTCTAGATGCCACCTTTATGTGGCCAAAGTTTCAGGTCAAAATTCGACAACCTAGTCTTGCTGCAAATATCATGCCCTATAGTGAAAATTCTCTAAAAATCTTCGATCTCCTCAGAAACAAACCAGAAAATCGAAATTCTTTTTACCATAGACACATCTCACGATGGGCTACAAGATGCGCAAAACCCCGACTGAAAAGCGCTCCAGCACCTGGGAATGTTTCCTTGTTAGATACCTATAAAAATATTCTACTCGGATGGAACATTATAATCATTATTCAATTCGTTCAACACAAAATAGATAAAATTCTATTTCGCTTTCAATTAATATTAAAGACCAAGTCATAGTCTGGTGTGGAGTGTGGGTGTGAGTGTCGAGGAGCTTTCCCCTTCCTGGTACCCATACCCCACATCCACACTCAAAACTTCTAGTATAGAGCGAATTCAAGGTCTAAAACATTGGTAAGTTTTCTAAACCATCATCAGTGTATTCAGCATGATTCTAGATAACGCATTATATTTTGCAAAAAAGAAAGCTCAAAACTAAGAATCGAAACACTGATGATAATAACAAACAACTTGTTTGCTCAGAATTCCATGGTAATTTTTTTTGGATCGGTAAACCATGAAAAATCGATAAAAAAGATCAAGAAAACACTAGCTTTAATGCTGCGAAAAACAGCAAATATTACAATAAAATCCTCCTGTTTTTAAAGTTTAGTTTGACCGGATCAGTTACGGGCAAACTGGTTGATCTAATTGCAAGTCTAAAAAAAAACCAGTTAGAAATTGTACCTAACAGTATTAAGGTTGTCGTCAGTTTTCTAAGACTCCCTTGGATAGTTCTCTTATAGCAATTTAAGGAAAAAACCTAAAAGCAACTTTTTAAATAGAATGAATGCCCATAGCTGATAATCTAATAAATTTTATTTGCATGTTAGTGCTACATACCATCTAAAGTTTCAGTCACAGAACTTTTACGAAATAAGCAGAGACTCAGTTTAACAGAGAGACTCTGACCATTGGTGAATGTTATTGTTAGAGTTATTTTAAAATAGATAGCAGCTATTTTAGACTGGACGGTGTCATCGAATTTTGTTTTGCACAGTGCTGTAGCGCATCCGGCTGGATATCCAACTGAAAAAACTATAATGAACTGGTCTCCTCTTTTATTAAAACCTTCATGACATTGATTGAGACTTTAAGAATGAAAAAAATCATAACAAACAAGAAAATATACTTTTCTAACATACTTTGCTGCTCTTTTCTTTTTTCCTGTATTTGTCGATGATACTGGAACAAATCGAGCAGCAACAGTTGTTAGTCCTGCCAGATGAAGTTCTCTCATAAGCTATATAGATATAAAACAATCAATTCATGACTAAGGAAAAGTGAGTAGCATACATTCTTGGATAAAGCATCCAAATTGCTGACGACTAACGAACTGGCATTTTGAAAATCGGTTGCATATTCAAGACGATAATAATTCAGGTCTGAAGAGAGATAGAACAAATATAAAGACGAAAGAAATCAGAAGAAAGAAAAACGTACTTTTAACCGTGACATTCACATTTCTAATTGAGAGATAAAGAGGAATCAAAGCTATAACAATGATTGATGCGATCGTGAAGAGTAACAATATAGCACAGCAAATGGCTAGTAAAGGTTTCCATGACCATGATAAACGTTTCATTTTCCTATAAAAAGAAACAGAATTTATTATTCAGAAAAGAACCTATCATTTTTGAAACATGATATGATCGTTTGTACAGGAGCAAATTTTGATTTATTGTAACACTTTAGCCAAGTAAAAAAACTATAGAAAATTTTTCAGATAGTACATGTTATGAACATATTTCCAGTATATCTCTGACGTAGCTTTAACGGTCTTTTTTTTTGTACAGCTTTATAATTGCTTTCTCTTAAACTGATGAAGATGTGACTAACACATACTGAAAAGAAAAATGGTGCGATACAGAACTTGAAAAAGGATTTCGTATACAATTCCGAACCTAAAACACGTTTTAAGAATTGAAACAAACTCTGCAACTCTTTTAAAGATTTAACACATCGGTACGAAACTCTCAAAGACATTTTCTACATGTATGATAAGACTTGCCAAAGGTTTCGCACTAATATACGCAACAAAGAATGGGTTCCGAATTCGTTTCAGTTCTCAAATCCCTTACCCAAAGCAGGAAGAGCTAGAAGTGTTCAGCTCCGTTTTGACTATTTCATAACTTATTTGATTGAGCCTATTGACATACGAAAAATTTAAAAGAATTTAGGCTCATGGCTAGTCAGTTAAGAGTTATGTCCGCTTTACTTAATTTTGGGTGGGTGTTTGAACAGAAAATTCCTCACCCACATGCACACTATGAAGCCGTGAATACCTAGAGTAATTGAATTGACATCAGAGAAATCTCAAAGACCCTTTAGAACTAGCCTGATTTCTAATCAGCTTCTGCGAGTTCAAAAGTCACTTTCTATTTCAATTCAGATACTAGGAATTCCAGAAGTCTCCGAAGAGAAACCATTTTGGAATTCAGATTTTTCAAACTCTAAAGAACATCTAGATTCCAGCTCAAGCTGAACTCAATGATTTTTTTCTTCTCTCAATCTTGATTGAAGTTAAATAGATCATCATATATGGGACATCGGTTCTTTTTAAGGTAATTGTTTAGTCATTCGAGCCGTTGATTATACAACATTTTATTACTTATCACTTGTATTTACGTTTGTTTTCTTAGAAGACACAAATCCTGCTTATTTTCATTTATCCTCACTTTCATACATTTTTCGACTTATAAAGTCTGCAAGGAGTTATAAAAAATACCATTTAAAACGTACACTTATTAATATACGTTGTGTTAATAAGTACGAAGCCTCTTTCTCTATGTCGGAAGGAATCACTTACAAACTAAGCAACCTATAGAGTATCGGGAACTAGTAAGAGTTTATCGAATGCCATGAGAAAGAACGAAGGTCAAATGTTCAACAACACATACGTATTTGTTCTTCCATTTACATCCTCTACCAGATAATCGATCTTCGTCATTCAATGAATTCTCATCGTAAAACCTTTCTTAACCTATAGTCGATCAAAAATTCATATAAATAAAGCATACTACAAACAGTGAGCTATTTTGCACTCTGATATATCGAAACAATTCGACTTTCGTCAAAGTATATTTTACAATCACTTATATACTAAAGAAACAAAATCTTTACTCATTCTTAGTTAGTTTCGGTGAAAAAGATATACATATACTACCTTGAAAAACAAATCAGATCAAAGTATACAAAATGAATGCAATACAATCTTTAAATACGTTGTGTATCCCGAGAAAAAAACGGAACATAGAATGCGTAGTCGTATCATGAAACACAGCGCATGAATGATTTCAAGTTATTTACCCATATATGAAGTAAAGTAACACCATAAAGAACAGGTAATTACTTCGTTATCTAAATTATACATCAAGTCTTCTAAAACTATCAGTCACTTTTCGTTTGATCGAAAAAATGAAAAAACAATTATACATGTGCAGTTCGATACTAGTCCGTATCATAATTTGCATGAGCCTTGAACGAACTTGATCCAAAGAAAATCTTCTTATTCTGATTACAATTCAAGCATCTAATCAATGTCATTTTAGCTTTATTTTAAAAATTAAATACTGTATGTTTATCAAGATAAATTCATTCTCTCATCAGTGCTCTTCTAAATGGATACATTGATATGAGTTTTGGTGCAGATGTATTTCTTATTCTCATACCGACACCCATACCAACATCATGCACCCACCATGTCATGATATTAACGTTTAGTTCCTTTCAATTGGAGTTTGAAAGTAAATCACCCAGTCAATTCGAAAATGAAATTAAATCTTGAGGATGTTTGCAATTATATAAAAATCTATACCCTATATATTCACTATTTTTAATTACTGTAGATCTTTCAGGTTTATATATTGTGAGGTATGGCTCTAAGTGCAGGCATGAAAGACAGGGACCCATGCCTATGATCTGCACACGCTTGACAGCTACATCTTCTGAACATCGAAAAATGATAAAGGTTTTTCTAATGTCATGAGAAAGAACAAAAGTGAAATAGTCGAAACACGTGTCTGCTTTCACATCTCGATCGTTGTCAATTTCATTGATGTTCATTACTGAATGCATGCCCATCTTGAAACCTTTTTTTAATTCATAGAAAGTCAAAAATTAATACAAACAAAGGATAGTACAAATACTACGGAATTTTGTAGTTTCATGTATCAAAAAACAATTCGACGTGTATGGAAGCATATTTTTTCATGAATTATACATTAAAGAAACAAAATTGTTGTTGACTATTAATTAATGTCATTAAAAAATATGCTTGCTTCACTGCTCAAAAGTAATTTGATAAAAATCGAGCGAAGCCAATGCAATACTTCATGACTAATCAGATGTAAACTGGAAAAAAATATGCAACTATATCATGAAGGAGAGAGTCTGACTGGTTAAAATATTATGTGCGTCAATAAACTAACAGGATGATAGCACAGAACACAACCAATTAACTTCTAATTTACTATATTCATTAATAACCTTGTAAAATCACCGCTCACGTTTTCGTTAATAGTCAAAACGAAAAATAAATACACACTCGCAGTTTGATGAGTCCGCGTCACACTTTGTTTGATTCTTCAAGGACCTTGTCGAAATAGACAAAAAAGATTATAAGAATATTTGAACATGTTAAAATAGCCGGTGTGGGTTTAGGTTAAGAGAAAATTTACACTCACACCAACATCCACACGTACGCTCACACTCACTCATCTTCATATGCAACAGAAGGTTAAAAAAACTGATTCTCACTATATTTTGTAAACATTACAAAGAGTTTTAATTCGGCTAAGATCGAACTTTCAGAAAATATTCTCTCATGTATAACCTATTGATTATCAGACCAAGGACACTTAATATTCAATATCGGTTGAGTTCGAGGCTTTCAAAAGAAACTTATTTTCTATTTTAAATCTTTTTTTCTGCTCTTAGGATTACATTTTAGCACCAAAGCAATGCAATATTCGTCATCAGTATGTGAAGTCGTACTGAATGGTGCGTGACAGAGTATAACGTACGATGCAAAAACAACAGCAAAAAAGTGTCAACTCTTATATTTCTTCATAGAAATGGCTCTGGAGAGAAATTTCTTGACGATTAGACACGAAATTTTTCCCACTTTCAAACTATGCATAACTTCTTTTCATTAGACATTCATAAACAAATCGGTACAGGAAGAAATAGAGATACCCTAAAAATAGTTCTGCACTTTTTTTTTTTTTACATTTCACAGTAGCAAGACAAAATATCGAGTACAATATCCTTCATTTTTGAACATGCATTCGAATGAAAACTTGTGTGTGTTCGAACTGTGTTTAATTTGTTTTTTGTCACGCATTTATAAGCGAAATGAGACGAAGAAAAGAGATGTCTGTAGGATAATTTTTTTATCTTTTTATTCATTTATCGAAGAAATTCTGTCAATCAACTAAAATACTAGTTGAAATATTTTTAGTTTTATTGACAGAAAAAGTGTATGAGGATAATTGAAAAACTAGAAATTTAAATTTATTGACTTCTAGAATCAAATAAAAGATCAAACAAATTAGTAAGACTGCTCTGATTCAAGATGTTCGAAAGAATCTTCATGAAATGTGGCATGGGAGACTATATATTACATTGTTAAATAAAAATATTTTTGTTATTCATGCTTTTTCTAATGAAAAGTGAAATTTCTGTTCTCTTTCATTGATAGATGGCAGCTGCTGATATATCTGCTACCATCTTCGCATCCTTTTTCGGTTGATTTTCAGATCTTTTCCGATAAATCAATGAAAATGAACAAACATTTATTTTACGATCATCTCTTCTTGCGTTAATGTCATTTAGTTTATGAACGCGTGCCAAAAATAAAGCGATATCATACTCGTCACTTCGTGTCGCTATTCTGAAATGTACAAAAAGTGCAGAACTATTTTGAGGGTGTTTCTATTTCTTCTCATTCCGTTTTATTTACGAGTGTGTAACTTAAAAAGTTATGCACAGCTCGTAGGAGGAGAAAATTTCTTATCGAATCATAAAAAATTACTTTTCAAAAATATGTCTATGAAGAGATATAAGGATCGACATTTTTTGCCATTACTTTTACATAATATGTTATCTTCATTGACATGGATGTGATTAGAGATGGAATGGAACCGTTACTGGTACTGATCGTGAAAAATTCGGCGCTAGTACAATTCGTCGCACGACACTTCGGCGCAATTACTTCGTCGCAATCACTTCGTCGCAAAG